TATTGGTATTATGCAAAAATAATTGTTCTGCCTATGGGTACAGTTGTACAAGGACAAACTTTGTTCATGTGCTTAAGAGATTTTTGTTATATTAATGTCAAGTTTTCAAGAAAAAGTTTTTTTAGTAACATTGGGATCAATGCAAAAAATGCTCAAGGCTTTACCTGCTTTCTGCTGTCAGTGTATGTCAGTATATGTGTACTGGCACTGGTATTGCATTGCACTTACATTTTAAACAAAATACACAATTCAGTAAAGTGCATTTTAATTTACATTCAACAAGTTCAAAGGCAGTCAAATTTCTGGTTTATTAGGATGAAATGATTCATGTAATTCCGTTTGATCACGTCTCTAGTTGATAATTGCTCGATTGTGATAAAAGACTGCAGCTTCCTAAGCTGTCCAAGCTCATTATGGTACACTTAAGTTTACCAATTTACTTCCAGCGTAGGGCTTATCCTTAATTACACACACATAGACACACTGTGGGATTCACAATTAAGCTGAATCAGGATGCAGGGCATGGTTAAATAGAACGACTAACTAGAGAGAGAGTGAGAGCACTAAAGACAAAAAGAGACAAGCTGGAACATGAACCGATCCTGTGAAAACAGCAGGGTCCAGTAGCCCCTGCTCCATTATAGCTTAAAGTCAAGTGTCTAACTTATGAGAAACAAATTAGTTGGTAAAACATGTATTTATCCAAAATTCATCATATTGTTGTGTCTCACTGACCACATTTGCAAGAATCTGCAGTTCTTCTCTCAAACCGTGTTCATGCACCGATTCTTTAACTCTGAAACAGGAAGTGTGCAGAAGTACGTGTGTTTAGAGACTCAAATGTGAGATGACTGTTACACCCAGACATATAATCAGTAAGGTGCATATTATTAGCTATGAGGCAGTTGCTGTGTCGATCAGAGTAAAACTATTTATACTTCAACCTGTGGTCTGATATTATATCTAATGGTTTTCTTTAAGTGAAGAGCCCACTGAGATTATTCCTATGAAATGGTTATATCCTTCAGCATTTTCTAAATAATCCTCTTATTAAGATGTGATTAAGTTGGTGTACAGTGCGCCAGTTAAACCACAGAATAAAACAACAAATGCAAAGTGGGAAAACGTGTTGTCAAAAGCTGTAAATGAACTCTTGTATCCGCAGTGGATGATGTCAGCCAGTGGAAACAAATAAAACGTCACATGCACACAGTATGCGGTCTCAAGATGAAGCTTTGAAAGGCTCAGAGGTAAAACTTTAATGACTCCCAGCCTTCATTGTTATCCAGGACCCCACCTTATTTTTTTCCCCTTACTGTGTAATGAGCGCAGCCAATCACCTTTCTGGATTCATACCATCTCTGAGAATGTAATGACACCTGGGTTTGGTCAGTGATGCAGCAAAGCAGAGACACTTTTACAACCATTCTGGAAAGTCTGATTTTTACCCACAATGGCTGAGCTTTCTGTCAACCTCCTGGGCTTGAGACTGGTGTTTTCTTCCATTGGTCTTATGGGTAACACAATTCTCATCGCTTCCATCATTAAGATTAATTTCTTCCACATTAAATCTTTTGAGATATTTCTCTTCGGACTCGCTGCAGCCAACTTGTGGGAGATTGTCATCATAAATTTCTATGACATAATCATCCTTCAGTCTCCCTCCACCGCCACGGGCACTTGGTCGTGTTATTTACTGGAGTTCATAACTGTTATTGGTGAAATTAACAGCATCTTCTTCACTGTCCTCATCTGTATCTATCGCTACCAGAAGCTGAGAGATGTAAACACGAGGGTCAACTTCCCACTCTTCCTGGATAATATCAGATCAGCCTGGACGGTGAGCGGCATTTCTGTGATGCTCTCCGTGCTGCTCAGTGTTCCGATGTTTGTCATCGACCAGGAGAGCAAAGCGGAAAACGCCACAAGAAACAGCAGCATGTGCCCTCCAGACTTCTTTCACTGCACTCAAAATCATTGTCCAGTGTTCAACCGCATATACAAATACCTGTTCATCGTCTCGTGTCACCTGCTGCCTCTGATTATCGTCACAGTCACCAGCTGCCTCATCCTCACAGTGCTGCTGAGCCAAAGGAAGACAGTGACACCAGCGGTTAACGAGACTGGGTCAAGTCAGTTCAGCAGGAAGAGTAAAGATACAAAGATCCAGTGGAGCACGATAGCTGTACTGGGAGCCATGGGATTGTTCCAGGTGGACTGGACTACCTACCTGATTTTTCAGTTGGCTTTTAACCCATATGAATTCCCTTTCTGGTCTGAAGCTCAGTTCTTTATCACAATATCTTATACATCCATCTCTCCATACATGTACATGATAGGGCATAACATGATCCCTCCCCACAGCTGTAAAAAAGGATAATTTAAAGATACAGTAAGTGATTTTGTTGAAGTTATTTAAGAGAAGAAAAAATGTTGTACTCTTGAATATAGTACATTGATCCTGTGTAATTACTTCTTGTAAAAGTTTAAAGCCTTCTCATAAACTTAGAATTATGATGGATATCAGTGCTCCACCGCAGTGCGTTTTATATATGTGGCTAGAGACTGGCCAAATATATAGTATGCCATAGATACTTTTAGTTTATAGATTAAACGATATATGGACATTTAACATTTGTGTACATATATTTTTCATCATCTCTTTGTCGTTATGTCTTTCTCCTCTTCCGCCACTGCTCTCTCTCTCCTCCTCCTGCCTCCTCACCTGAAGCCTTGTCTCCTAAACTGAAGTCAGGGCTCTAACAAAATGAAAATCCTTATATATTCCTGATATTGTCACTTATTACTTATTGTCAGCAGATCAGACATGTGACCCTCCCATATCCACACGAGCCAGCTAAACAACAACAAAAGCTAACACTGTGCCAGCTAATGTTAGGCTCGAGTGGGCTAAAAATCACACTTTCCCTCTGATAAACAGTTTGAATTTAACAATATATGTATATTTGAGTATTTGCCCTACTTTCGCCACCATAGTTAGGATTATGCACTTGAATTGGAAGGGGTAAGAAAACAGTACCCAATTGACCGCAATCTGCAGTCTACTGACATCTAGTGGTGGGATTTTACACGATTTACCTTTAAAGCTTTTCTTTACACCACAATTGTTTCTGACTTGTTGAAATTGAGGTCTTCTTTTTCTGTAAGAATGTTATAAATGTGACAATGTGACAATATTAGGCTAACAAACTTTGCAAGTTCACAGGAAGAAGAGGGTGATAATTTAGAAACTTGTATCACCAAATCCATAGAGCATTGTCTTAGAGTCTGCATTTACATCTAATATAAAAATGAAAGCATTCCTTTGTTATGTTTTGTCATTTCAGTGTGATGTAGATCAAAAGAGTACTTATCTTTCTCAGTGTTGCATACTTTGAATTGTCTTCACAGCAAATGTTTTTTTATGGTAAAAGTACAAAAGGACCATCATTCCTTGGAAAAATGCTAGCTGATAAACTGTCTTATTTTTCAGTGCAATTGAGCACATGGCAGCTGTGTTTGTATATAGCCATTAGTCTTGTACTCAAAGCAGCATGGCCTGTATTTACAGTACAATAGGTTGAGTGAAAAAGCAATTCTGTGCCTCATACCATCTTGCACAAAGACAGCTGCAGTCAGCCCAACCTGTCATTTCATGTTTATAAACCGTAAATACTACACTATGAGCGTAGCTTGATTTGTGATATCGGTTTTAAAAAAATAAAAATCAGTCTCCCAGTGAAAGTGAAAGTTGTTATACATAGTACATAGGTCACATATTACTCATAGTGACCAATTTAACCTAGTTGTGAAATGACACTAATACTGTACTCTAATTTTATTATTATATAATAGGACTATACAACATATGTGACCATTTTCCAACCCCCCACTTCAACCCCTTGACTTCATTTGGACCTTTAACGTAATCCTGACAAACTATGGATCACCAGGTCTGCAATCTTGATTTAGACGTAAATATTTTGCCGTTTCAAAGTGATTTTAATATGGCTTTGATAGTCGTGACAGAACTGACAAAAGCCGTACGAATCTGTGCTCTGGTAATTGTCTGTGCTGCCGCTGATTACACATCAGTGACTTACACTGAAATTTGGAGGCAAACGGTGCGTGCTGATTTACTTTTTTTTTTTTAAAAAAAAGACCCACTTGATGCTTGTTTTTCAGGTGTCACGAGATTAGAGCAGCGTGGGCATTTTTTATGCACAATGTGGAAAATAATTAACCGATAATTAAAATAAAAATATGAATGTCGCCCCCTTTAAACGTGCCCGATAAACGGAGGCATCTCTACATGTGCACTTATTATGAACCTTTGATTCGATTTCCCCCCCACTGATCAACCTCCTGCCTTACGTTTAATGTGTAATAAACTGTATAATTGCAGGGCACTTGTGGTTGGTGGCGAAGCACTTTGCAATGTTAAAGTCATTTCACGAGTCCGTGCACGACCTCGCGTGGGAGATTTCGCTCTAAGTTGTGTCTCTGTGTGGTGAATACAGTCTCATTTTTGCTTTAGTATCCATTTGTCGCACACAAAATAAGTGCACGTGATTTCGATTTGACTGGACACGCGGAACATCACCACGAGAGTTCCACGTGGAACACAAAAGATGGGTCGTCGCCTGTGAGCCGTTTTTCACCCACTTCCTTGTTTGACCGCCCCGTTCGCTCAATACTTCTCATACCATAAATCGTTGATTCTTCTCTTCTTCTTCTTTTAACCCACACGGGGTTTTAAATCACAAGATTGCGTGGCCGATGATCTGAATGAGAGTCGTTCTTTTGTTTTGTGTTGTTGTGCTATTAGGTTGTTGTGAAAAGCAGAGATCCTGCAGAGCCCGACTGAAAATGTGATTTAGTACTAATTTTATACTTAGCTATCCGCAGTGTTAACATCTGTAGAGCAGAGGTAAGTTTTGTATGGTTCATGTTTAATGAAACATAATTATGTAATATCAATTTAGAAAAATATCAGAATGAGGAAAAATGAACGGCTTTTCCCCTCATTGTTATGTGCTATTATCTATTATATGTTTATACAAGTGTTATTACCGCAACGATAAGGCATAACAACGCAGAAATATACTGAACACTTTTATTTATTTATTCAGTCACATACATCACTAGATTTACTGGCTCTCACACCTCCTGCTGATCAAAAACTGTGGCAGGTATCAAAACACCTTTGCATATATGTTTTTGTTTTTCCCTTTTGGTACTAAACAGAAGTACACAACTCACATAAGCATTGTGTGCCAATTCAGTTGTCTTCATGTTGATTTTGTTGGGCTAAAGGGTTGCCTTTGGTTTCCCATGTCTATGTCTTTCTAAGGTAAAATGGCTTAACAGCACTTAATTTAGGGCGTGCAATTTACACAAAATGCGCATTTAGACAACATATGCAGAGCACAGTAGGCTAGGGTGTAGCCTATATAGCCCAGCTGCCTAAAGATAAAGTGGAGGAACTGTGGAGGTTTTTGAGATTTTCACGTGGCTAAAATTCAAACATTGAATGCCATCTCGCTATTATTATGGAGCTTTTTATTACATTTTTATTACTGGGGTTTCCAGATAAGCTAGGACTACACTTCCGGTATGGTAGCGTAGGCCTAGCCTGTAAATTAGATTACTTTATGCTTAGATCAAGAGCGTTTTGCTAAAAATATTAGCGACCCAATAGGGTCTAACGGTATTCTTCCAGCTTTTTTAAATTATTTTTTACAATTCAATATGTGCAAATTCAATATGCTATTTTTTGTCCAAATATTTATTCTTAACTTCAACTCCTGGCCACCATCTTGTCCCGTAAACAAAGCCAATCAGCCTTGCTCTTTTTTGTAGACAAGGTCAATCAGTTAATAGTTTATGAGCCACTGATTTCAGTTGCACATATTAATGTTGATACATAACACTACAAAGATACAAAATTACTTTCAGTGTTCATTTGTTTTTTTCCTACGTTTGCCACCGTGATGAAACAACTGGCCGGTCGTCCATTGGGAGCTTGCGCATTGGCTACTGGATCTCTACCACCATGGTGAACGTGTTACGTCACAGCTCGAGAGCACGGATGTGTGTGTGTGTGAGAGAGAGAGAGAGGGGGGGGGAGCAGAGAGGACAGTGTGTGTGTGTGTGTATGTGTGGGCTAAGACAGGGTGAGAATGGAAGTGTGATCGAAAAAGGTAGAAGAAGTCAAGGAAACAGACAGGAAGAGAGAGAAAGTGTCACGCCTTTGCTCTCAGTGCGCGAATCACACATCCTAAACATTTTCGCGCAAACTTGCAGAGAGTTGTCCTTACCGGCGCGCGGACCGCGCTCGAGGTGAGAACGAGCGAGAGAGAAAAGAAATATTTATGTATATCTCCTGGATGGCGGACTCCCGCTTCCCTCGAGCTGGCGGGCCGGGAATCACGCGCCATTGAAGAGGGGGGTGGAGGTGGGGGGGTGATAGTGTGCATGCGCTTTGGCTCCACTGCGTGCACACTCGGGTCGGTCGATGTGAGCACAGTGGCGTGGCTCTCGGCCTCCATTTGCCAGTTTGTGTTTATGTTCGAGGGATTCTCCGAGGCCCTTTTAACGGCGACGGCGACGTGCAACAGTTGGAGCTTCGCCGCTGAACGATACTGTTGCCTCGCTGCGGTCGGCCACGAGGTACCGAAGCGACGCTGAAAGGTGAGGCTTTAGTGAAACCTGCAACTTTTCCAACTTGGTGAGTGGTGGAGCGGGCGGCCTTCCTTCTCCGCGGTGTGTGAGGAAGAAAGAGCTGCTGGTTTAACAACTTAAATTCTTAACGCCGCTTCTTATTGCAGGGAGTGAAATAGTTATACGGGAGTGACGCTGGGAGTTTATATTGTAAACATGGAGGTGATAAGCCGTTTTAGGCTCTCGTTGTGGTGTTTAACACCTTTAGACTTGAAGCATCCGTGTGCCGGCGTGACAATGTGATTAGGAAATTAGAGGAGGGGGGTTAGGACAACAACAAAAAGGGGTTACCTTTATAGTTTCTGGTGTGCCGTTGACCAAGATCATTTCTCTTGGCTTTCAAGGTACAAAACGGTGTTAGTGGTTCATCCTTGTTTAAAATGTAGGGCTGTTTTTCCGTCTGTGTCCTGAGCTGGAAGCCCATTGGTCAGTCATACTGAAGTGGTCTCCTGCAATGCAAAGTCCACTTTTCCCCACAGGGCCACGAGAAATTGTTCAAATGATCTGAGCGCTTTTTGATTGTTTATATTTGTAGTATTCGTCTTGAATGGTGTGATGGTGGCTTCAGGAGTTCTTGCGTAGGAGCATTTAACATGTAGTTTAAAATAATCGTATTAGTCTGTTAAAAATTTAGAAATATACGAGTTTTACTTCAGT